TTTTTATTTAGATGTAGCCCTAATAGTTTATTTTTGCTTCTGTTTTCCTTGCCTCGAGAGACATATATAGAAAGAAGCTGCTACAGTTAATGTCAAAGAAAGAAGCTGCTACAGCTAATGTCAAAGAAGTTACTGGCCCATGAGTCTGTTTCTGATTGGTTGGAACTTGAATGTCTCCCCAGTTCACAGCTCCCGTGTAGCTCTTTACTGGGCTTCATGAAGCCACACTCAAACCACGTGCAGTTTAGTATTCAGCTGAAAGTCTCAAGGAGATCACTGTGCAGATATCTAGAGTTCTCTCTGCATAACTCCCTCTTCTCTGAGGCCCTGTTCCACAAATTTCAGTCACTGCTATCTCCCCTAATTCTGATCTTTCTCCTCAGTTCAGCAACACTATCATACTCGGCTTGAATTCTCCTTCCATGTAGCATAATTCAGAAAGCATGATCTCTGGCCAAAGCTGGGCGGGGGTGGGGGTGGGGTTGTAGAACTCATTTTCTTTCTCTTACCTTGGTTGTTTTCCAATAGATCCACTCCAGTACCATTTACTCTAACATGTTTGGAAGCAAATTTCAGGCCACCTCTTTTTTGTTTAGTTATATCTTCTTCTTTGCTTATGTTTTCAGTTCCTTCTTTTGCTTATTTAAACATTAAAAACACATTCATTTTATATTGTCTGCCAAGTTCAATATCCAAAATCTTGGATGTCTAATTTAATGTTTGATGTTTATTTTTATTCACTTTGGCTTATACTTTTAAATTTTGGATTGTGAGCTCATATTCAACTGGATTATCTCTGTGGGAATCCTATGAAGTCTAGGTTGAGACTGAACATTTTCAGACAGGATTTGTTTGCTTCCACAAAACATCTTGAGGGTTTCTAGATCTCATAGACAGCACACATAAACATGTAAACCCAAAATCTCCATGAAGGCAGATATGGGTTATACATTCATAGAAGGATCCTTAACCAAAACATTTTTTTCTCTGAGGCTGAGACATTAAAATTCCCTTGTAATTTTGTGTATATCAAGGGTCCCAGATTTGTCTTTGGGAGTCTTATTTAAAGCTTGATGTCTTCAGACTTCAAGCTGTATTACAAAGCTGTAATCATCAAGACAGTATGGTACTGGCACAAAAACAGACACTCAGATCAGTGGAACACAATAGAGATCCCAGAAATGGGCCCACAAACGTATGGCCAACTAATCTTTGACAAAACAGGAAAAATATCCAATGAAATAAAGACAGTCTCTTTAGCAAGTAGTGCTGGGAAAACTGGACAGCGACATGCAGAAGAATGAACCTGGACTACTTTCTTACACCATACACAAAAATAAACTCAAAATGGATGAAAGACCTCAATGTAAGACAGGAAGCCATCAAAATCCTCGAGGAGAAAGCAGGCAAAAACCTCTTTGACCTTGGCCGTAGCAACTTCTTACTCAACACGTCTCTGGAGGCAAGGGAAACAAAAGTAAAAATGAACTATTGGGACCTCATCAAAATAAAAAGCTTCTGCATAGTGAAGGAAACAATCAGCAAAACTAAAAGGCAACCGACAGAATGGGAGAAGATATTTGCTAACAACATATCAGATAAAGGGTTAGTATCAAAAATCTGTAAAGAACTTATCCAACTCAACACTCAAAAAACAAATAATCCAGTGAAGAAATGGGCAAAAGACAGGAATAGATTCTTCTTCAAAGAAAACATCCAGATGGCCAACCAATACATGAAAAAATGCTCAACCTCACTCATCATCAGGGAAATACAAATCAAAACCACAATGAGATACCACTTCACCCCTGTCAGAATGGCTAACATTAACAACTCAGGCAACAACAGATGTTGGCGAGGATGTGGAGAAAGAGGATCTCTTTTGCACTGCTGGTGGGAATGCAAACTGGTGCAGCCACTCTGGAAAACAGTATAGAGGGTCCTCAAAAAAAAAAAAAAAAAAATAGACCTACCCTACAACCCAGCAATTGCACTAATAGGTATTTATCCAAAGGATAAAGGGATGCTGCTTGGAAGGGGCACATACATCCCAATGTTTATAGCAGCACTAACAACAATAGCCAAAGTATGGAAAGAGCCCAAATGTCCATTGACGGATGAATGGATAAAGAAGATGTGGTATATATATACAATGGAGTATTACTTGGCAATCAAAAAGAATGAAATCTTGCCATTTGCAACTATGTGGATGGAACTGGAGGGTATTATGCTAAGTGAAATTAGTCAGAGAAAGATAAATATCATATGACTTCACTCATATGAGGACTTTACGAGACAAAACAGATGAACACAGGGGAAGGGAAGCAAAAAGAGTACAAAAACAGGGAGGAAGACAAAACATAAGAGACTCTTAAATATAGAGAACAAACACAGGGTTGCTGGAGGGGTTGTGAGAGGGGGGATGGGCCAAATGGGTAAGGGGCACTAAGGAATCTACTTCTGAAATCACTGTCACACTATATGCTAACTAACTTGGATGTAAAATAAAAAAATAAAGTAAAAACAAACAAACAAAAACTTGGTGTCTTGTTCATGCCCAAGGCTTTGTCTCGTGTGTCCCTACAACCATTAAAGCTCTGGTTCTGGGTCATTGGGATTAACAAAACAGCCTCAGGACAGCTGTGGTTTTAGTGCTTGCTTACCACTTGGTTTCCTGAGTCCTCTTTTCAGCACCTATGGATTGTCCTTACTATCTCGTGAGCTCCAATATGCAATTAAAAGGGTTTATGTTATTCAACCTATTTTGCAGTGTGACTTTTTACAGGCCATTTAATCCATACTATTGTTGGAAATGGAAGTCTGATCTTTGTCTTCCTGCCCTCCTGGTTCCTTCTTCCTGGAAGAAGGAGGTGCCCTGGGTCCACCTCCATGGAAAGTGGTGGGATAGAGGAGAAAGAATGGATTCAGTGCCAAGGACTCTGCCTACCTACCCTAGGCTCTGGCTCTTATTCCACTTCTACTTCCCCCAAGAAGTCTTTCTAAAAGCTGAGGCCCTGGTAGAGGACAGAAGTCCACAGAAGGCAAATATGGGGAGTTAGTTGGTAGTGGCTCCCTGGACTTTTGTGCTGAAGATGGATTCTGAAGCATCACTTGAGTTCAAAGTGTTGTGATTAATTAATGATGCCTGCAAAGACCTGGGGTAAACAGCAGTAACATGTATGTCATATGTTTGTCATCTCTGGAGTATCCACCTGAGTCATTTAGAGCTTTTTTTGCTTTAAAAAGTCTTGGATCTCACTAATCCAAGGAAAAAGATCACAGGAGGGAACTTGAAGGAAAAGTCTAGCTATTCGAGTCAGACAAGAGTTTGACTCTCTCAGATAATGTCACACCTTCCCATCACACCTGGTTTTTTGGAGGCATTGTTGGTGGAACCTGATCCCCCTCTCCTGGTATTTCTATGGTGAAGGGACATTCTATGTCCTCAAGGGACAGTTTGATTTTGTAGCACTGGACATTCCACTGGGCCCTATTCCACCAGTGGGAAATGTTGCTGCTCAAGTCTGCTCATTTTGAGCCCCTTTTCAGTGTGGCGAGCATCCTGAGTTGGGCTGGGGCCTGTCCTTTAGGGACAGTTCTGTGCTCACCTGTGCATGCAGCTGGTGAAGTGTCCAACTTAGCATGCAGGCCCAAAGGTCCAATTCCGGGAGGAAGGTAGGAGGGTCGGTGTCTGCATTCTCACCTTTACCAGAATCCTGCCTGAGGGGATAAGGGTGCCTGCAAGCCAGGACAGAGGTGGAACTTGCCTCCCCTTGCCTTCCAATCCTTGCGTGCCCTTGTGCTTGAGTGGGGGGGACAGAGGGGAGAAGAGTTATGTGCCCAAGACACCTAGCAAATATCAGGCCCTTAGGTATCAAAAGATGCAGACTTAAGAACACAGCATGCCATTTCAAATCCATTTCTAGGGGAATAAATGTATCATTCAAAATAAGACTTTGCATGATACAAAGGATAAACATTAACCTTCAAAAACTTCAGCTTAAAAAAGCATCTATTAAAAAGGGGCACAAGTAGCTAAGTGTAGAGCACATCACCAAACACTGCCCACAGATCAGGGTCTGAAGTCTTTTCTGAGTTTGGAGAAGCAGGCAGACCCTCTGGGGTCTATGCCCTGCTCCAGGAAGTGGCTCTCAGGAGCCTCAGACAAACAGGCCTAGAGCTGGGAACCATGACCCAGGAGTAGTCAGCACATGAGATGGGGAGACAGGGCTGCTATCTCTGGGCCGGTGATGCTGGCAAGGATTCTTCAGGCCTATCAGCCAGGGAAGGGGTGTCTAATCCATCAAAGAGCACTGAGGCTAGGCTAAATGGGGACATTAACACACGAGGGGCGGGGCACAGGGTCTCTGGCTGTCTGGGACAAATAGATATCACCATCTTTTCCATCCCATTCCATGCCCCTTTCCCTCTCATTCCACCTGCCCCCTTATTCTCCCTCTTCCCTAGTTTCCTCCTCCCTCGTTCCTCTTCCTGCCCCTTCTCAGCGGCTCTCCATCTCTCCCCCTGCCTTTCCTCCCATCTGTTGCTTCTCTTCTCTTTCTCCTCCCTCTTTCTCTCTCACCCTCTTTTCCATCTGGGCCAGAAACAGAGTCCTTTTCCACCTAGTGAAGGGTAGGTAGGAGGGCACAATTCAGTCCCATCCAAGACCTCCCCAGGGTTAATATATCCTTTGGCTTGGCCCCCTTAGAGTGAGATACCTGTTTCCTTGGGAATGGGAGATTCTCTGGCTGGTTTAACTGGTTACAGAGGAAGCTCTGGGTCAGAGGAATCACATTTCCAAGGACTCAGCTTGGAACAGGTCTGTGGGGGGCCTCGTAGGAGCCAGCCTATCCCACGGCCTCACCCAGATGCTGGAGGCACGCTTATTTATTATGCAGGGGCTTAGAGAAAGGGGGTGGGAGGCTTGGGAGGCAGGACTGGGGTGGATGTGAGAGGAGCTGTGTCCAGGCTTGGAGCTCTGGGTAGCTGTGGGGGCAGCATCATTTCTTGGAGGGCTGTTTTTTCCAGATGGCCGACTTCTTACTGCCTCTCTTGGCTTTGCTGAGAGTATGCAGAAACACTTCAGGCTGTTTCATTCTAAAAACCAAAATAGAGAGAAGCAAATGCTGGGAAATGGGTGGAGAGAGGTTGTGTGAACGGGGCCCAGAGCCCTGGCCCTCTGCTTTGCACTGTTTAGGCTCTCTGGGTGTAGCTGCAAACTGGGGGGTCCCAGTGGCACCTGTAACCTTTCTAACAAAAACCGTAACAGTTTTGTTTTTCCATCTTCATAAGAAATGTGTGATTTTTCACGCTTTTGCAGAATACATAATTCATTTCAGTTAACATGGCCAAGTTAAGGTCTAGGAAGTTTCTCGCAGGGAGACAGTGGGCAGTCTCCACTCATCTCAGACTGATGATGGCCTGGACTGTAGGATTTCACCACAAAAGGCCTCAATGGCCACCACCCAGACCACTGCCAGCAGCTCCGGGGAGCTGAGCAATGCCCAACTGGACATTGTGTTGATTAAATGGGCTAGCTGTCAGGGATGGTTAGAGATGACCCAGGCCCAGGGGGAAGTGACTTGCCCAAGGCCACTTAGCCCCACATGGACTCTGTGGCCTGCAGCAGAGCCAGGGGCTCTGCTATAAGCCACGCCCATTCTGTTTACCACAGGAGGGCCCCTCAGCCCTGGGCCGGGGCGGGGTGGGGGGGCACCTACTTCTCAGCTTCAGGGGAGGACTCCTCCATCTGGTCCGCCATGGTCAGAGAGGAGAAGCTTCCTTGGATGTCTTCTGGTATTGTTTTCTTGACTGAGTCAGGGTCTTCCAGGCCCGGGATGTAGGTTGAAATGCTGCAGGGGAGGCAGGGAAGGAAGGGCAATGCTCAGCAGAGCCACAGCCTGAAGGGGCCCTGAGTAAGCAGCCCTCACCTAGCGCTGCCATTTAATGTTCCGGTTCCGAGAGAGAAAAGGACACAGGGCTGCCCCTCACCAGGGTGGGTAAAGGGAGAGTCTGACCCCTGGGGACACAGAGACTCACCGGAGGTCAGCTTCTCTGGCTTCTGTTTAGGGCTGGAGTCACCTTAACTCTGTGCGAGCGACACCTGTGCACCCAGCACTGACCATCGGAAAGGTGTGCAATGGGGCAGGAGGGCTCCATAAAGTGAGCAAGGGAGGGAGGGAGCACAGGACGCCCAGGAAATAAGTCCTTGTGTACAGTGTTAGGGGCTGTGTCCCCCTCCCCAAATTCACATGTAGGGGGAGTCCAAATTCCTGGTACTTCAGATTGTGGCTTTGCTTATAAATAGGGTCACTGCAGAGGCAATGAGTTAAGATGAAGTCATACCAGAGTAGGGTGGACTTTTAACTCCAAATACCTGGTGTCCTTATAAAAAGGGGGCAGTGTGGACACAAGCACACACACAGGGAGAACGCCATGCGAAGTCTGGGGTAACAATGCTGCCTCAAGCTAAGGAATTACCAGAAGCGAGGAGACCAGCCTGAGCGAGTCCTTCCCTATCGCCCATGGAAGGAGCATGGCCTGCCCACACCGCCATCTCTGGCCTCCAGAACCATGAGATAATACATTCCAGTTTAAGCCACTCAGTGTGTGAAGCACTGTTACAGCAGTCTTGGGAAACTAATGAGGACAGAGACGGAACAGGCCCTTTTACTCCTCATTTCTTCATATTAATTGAGCCCCTGCTATGTGACTTGCTTGAGGGCAGGGTGTTTCGCGACAAGAGATGAGCAGGGGAGGAGAGACAAGGGCCTCTTCTGTCATTCTGAGAATCCCAGAAAAATAAAAAAGGAAGGTGTGGACCTGGCTGTCTCCCCCGTCCCCTTTGGTCCCGGCTGCAGAGGTGGCAAGAAAGCACATTCTGGGAGTGGGTCTCCTGAGGCTTCCTGAGCCGAGTGCCCCTGTCCAGCACCCGACCCACCCCTGTCCCCCAGGGTGGGTCATGGCTCAGCATTTGTTAGGAACTCAAAACATAGGTAAATGGAGCAATGGGAGTCCAGCCCAGTGGGGCACCGGAAAAGGACTCCTACATGACAGCTGCCAATAGCAGGTTACATGGCGAGAGAGTCAGGGTGACCAGGATGGCGGGAGCATCAGCGGCGTCCCTAAGTGAGACCCTCCACCAGGCCTGGGGCCGTGTTGGCAAATGACACGTACTGACACCTGGGGAGTCCGTCTCCTCCATCTGGCCCCGGGCTGATGGAGAATGGACCTGGTTACCAGAGCAGGCGGGGTGGGCTTTGGAGACCAAAGCAGCCTTCGCCCTGGGAGCTCATTAACTGGGGAAAATAGCCCCTTTTTCTCCCTGCCCCCTCAGCTGCAAAGCACCCACAGAGCATTTCCCCCCACCCCCCACTTTTAAACTGTGGTTAAAAGTACATAACATAAACTTTATCCATTTTTTTGTACACGCTTTAGTGGCATTAAGTACATTCACACTGTTGTGCAGCCGTCCCCACCATCCATCTCCAGAACCTTTTCGTCGTCCCAAACTGGAACTCTGTCCCCATTAAACGCAAACTCCCCACTGTCCCTCCCTCAGCCCTGGCACCCACCCTCCGACTTTCTGTCTGCTCTGGGGACCTCATGTAAGTGGGATCACGTGGTATTTGTCCTTTTGTGCCTGGTTTATTTCACTGAGGATAATGCCCTCAACGTTCATCCGTGTTGTAGCGTGTCGGAATTTCCTTCCTTTTCCGTTACATGCGCAGAGCACATTTTCTTTCTCCATCCATCCACGGATGGGCACTTGGGTTGCTTCTGCTTCTTGGATATTACCAACAGTGCCACTATGGACTTTGAAAGCCCACCTTCAATTCTTTTAGGTGCCTACCCAGAAGTGAAGCTGCTACACCATAATTCTATTTCTAACTTTCTGAGGACCCCCTCCGTACTGTTTTCCAAAGCCGCCGTGCCAGTTTGCATTCCTGCCGGCAGTGCACGTGGCCTCGGGCTCCTCCACATCCTCCCCAAAGCTTGCTATTTTTGGTGCTCCGACAGCAGCCATCCTGACGGGTGTGAAGCCGTGTGTCACTGTGGTTTTGAATTGTGTCCTCTGATGATTAGTGCCCTTTGCTCTTTTTCTTCAGTTTCTGCATCTTTGGAACAGCCAAGCTAAAGCAGGTTGAGGTCTTATTCACTTCCAAATCCCCAGTGCCGAGCACGAGGCCGGGCATGCAGGAGTTGGAAGGAATGGCAGGACTGCCAGGTTAAAAGTGGGAGGTGCTTCTGGAGAGAGGAGCCTCCCACCACTGGAGGTATATGAGGGGCGGCCGGATGGCCTTGAGGGCCGGTTATCAGTGGACACTCTGTCAACCGGCCCTTCCTCAGTCTGACCTGCCCTCTGCTTCCCTGGGATAAAATCAGCTCTAGGTCTTCAATCAGTGAACGTTTCCCAAGGGGGTTCAATGTGCCAGGCTGTGAGCATGAGCAAAGGACACAGACAGAAGGGAGGTGGGCCATGTGATACAGGACACCCAGTCCTCTGGGCTGGCACAGCTTAACACAGCGCTTCCCAACACACTGCCTTCTCCTCCGGGCAGAGTGGTCTCTCCAGCCCTGCATGAATCTCCCCCCACCCCACCAGTTGTCCTTGGCCTGGCCTGGCCCCCACCCTCCTGCTCCTTCACAACCAGTCTACTCACTAGCAGGGGCCCCACCCCATTCTCCGCTGGGGCTTGGAAGGCCTCAGTGGGGGGCCCCACCTCCCTGGGCAGCCCGGCTCCCCTCCCTGCTCACAGCCCTTGCTTCTCCACGGTGGCCTCACAGACCCCAAGCCCAGATGGATGGCCGTCTCTGTGGCTGGCTCCTCTGAGTGCCGGGTAAGCAGCCCAGCCCTTCCGGATCTGTACTCCGGCTCTGCCCACCCTACTGCATTTACTCTGCCCACCTGTATTTTTTCCCTCCCACCTCCGCACTTCGAATCCTCCCATGGCAGCTGCATAAAACCAAGCAGCTGAAAGTCTACTCTGGCAAGGAAGAAATGACTCCCACCAAGGGACAGGGAGGACCCCCCCCTGCCAGAGCTCTGCTAGCGTCCCTCTTGGAACAGAGGACCCAGAAATGAAAACGCTAACACTCCAGGACCTATGGCTCCCTTGGGCTGCACCGATAGCTCTGACTTCTAAGTTACTTTTTTCAGCATAACGGACTATCATGCTGGGGCTTCCAACATCCACTGACCATAAACCTTCCACGACTAAAAGTAAACATTTGTTCATTTTCCTCCCAAACCCCTGCTTGGTGGCTGAGCCTACTGCAAACTCCCACTCTGTCATCTCTCCCCATCTAGGGCACAAATGATCAGTCAGGCTTCCATGAACACATCTAAGTTGCATATTTAGGGAAAAAGTGGACAGGCCAAACACAGAGGTCTGCCCTTTAGGCCCACCACCACTTACTGGGTGTGGCCGAGCAAGCAGCTCCCTGAGCCCCGTCTATCCATCTAGTTCACGAGGACATCAAGAGATCTCACCCAGTGTCTTCCTTGAAGTTAGGTATTCTAGGCCGACAGCGTGTCTCACTACTATTCTAGTTACCCTGCTGGAAGAGGAATCGGGTCAGCAGGTGGCTTTAGAACGTGTCCCAAATTTCTTTGACATTCCTCCTGTCAAGAGGTGTAGTGTCATTTCCCTCCTGTGAATGTGGGCTGGCCCTAGGGACTCACATGGGGTGGATGGTGATGACATACATGACTTATGAGGCCAAGCCATATAAGGCAACCCAGTCCCCACCTGGCTGTGTCTCAGGATGCTCGCTTTTGGAACCCAGCTGCCATATCTGAGGAGGCCCGGGCCACATGGAGAAGCCATGTGTAATTGTCGCGGCTGAAAGCCTCCACGGACCACCTGACTTGAGTGAGCAAGACTTTGGGATGACTCCAGCCCGTCAACTTCTGATTGCAACCACATGAGAGACCCTAAGCAAGCACTACCTAGCTGAACCCGGTTGGCCCCCAAACTGCCAGAGATGGTAATAAATAACGGTTGTGTGGTTTTACACCACTAAACTTGAGGTGGTTTGTTCCACAGATAGAGATAAAGGAACTGTTGTTATGGCAACATTTTCTTGTAGAATTCCACTCTTTTTTCTCTAAGTGCTTTCAAACTGCCAACCTAATAGGCCATTCTGGAATTAAGAGGAGTTCTACCGGTTTATAGTCTGCGGAATCCTCCCCTTTCCACTTCCAAAAACCTAGACTCTGTGTGTGTGTGTGTGTGTGTGTGTGTGTGTATGTGTGTGTGTGTGTGTGTGTGTGTGTGTGTGTGTGTGTGTGGTTTGCTGATTCTTTCTCCATCATTCCTCAAAAAATTATTGAAAACCATTGTAAGTATTAAGTCCTTTTAGAACCCGTGCATATAACAGATTAAGAACCTGGAATTCATTTTAGTAATAATAATGACAGCACTAACAGCTATAATTTGTAACCTCTCAATAAATGTTAGTGATGTACCAGAACTTCACACACACTGGCTCATCTAATTCTCACAACCCCATATAGTGGAAACTATGCTTGTTCTTGCTTTGCAGGCAAAGAAGCTGAGGCAGAGAGAAAGTAAGTGGTCCTTTGAGGGACAGTGGAAGTCAAATAAAAGCTACATCTTTTTGTAACTAGTTTTTGGCATCCCCATCTACCATACCCTTAAGCACCCCATCTGTTAAATGTTTCTGAAAATGCCTTTGCTTGCTGTCTCTGGCACCTTCCAGTGGTCTCAGTTCATCTTCAGTGTGGGCCTTCTGGATAGCGTCCTCCCCAACCCCCTTCTGTCTTTGGTGTATTTCTTTCTTGAGCCCAAGCAGACCCAGAGCCTCCGTTTCCCTTTCTCCCTGGAACTGTCATTGAGCTGGTCTTGAATAACCTCCAAGCCCTCCTTGAGTCTCAGGCCTTGGGGTCTCAGTGACTTTCCTCTCTGCACCTGCCAGCATCTGCCTTCCTGATGTCCACAGGCTCCTCAGGATCCTGCCTTCTCTACTAAGCTGTCCAGGATGCTGGGGTCAGGGCCTGACCTCTACCAGATCCTCCTAGAGGAACCTCTATAGGGTCAGGCAGACACTCTGACATGGCCCCAACTCAGTGCACTGGGGAGAAATTGGCGTTAGGACTCCTAGAAAGCGGAGAGGCCTGGTGGGAGCGGGGTGGGGTTGCTGTCCCGACTCCATGCGGTAGGGGCACAGTCAAAGGCAAGCCCACGTGCTAGGCAGGCGGATGCTTTTTATGTGTGTTTGCTCATCACTTTCTGGTTTATATGGAACTTCAGCAAACACGCCTTCATTACATCCTCACAACAACCCCAGGAGGTGGGAATTATCACCCTCATTTTTTTTTTTTTTATTTATATATGAAATTTATT